CATCAGGACTTGGCAATTGATATCTCACACCATGCTACAGATCTTTGGGGCTGCCGGGCTTGGGTCAAATTTGAGGTAGACAATGTGGAATGGGCGGTAATGACAGTGTAGGCCCTTACAGGTGGTGCTGAACAAGCAGTCTTCTTCATACATCTTATGTCAGTCACATCGTACGTAGACAACCTGCTGATTCCAGGTGACAGGAACTGCAGCCTGAACGACATTAGCGCCAGAGTACATGCTTGACTCGGGACTGTGTGATGCCTACATAGTACAGACTTAATTCAGGGTGCAGATCTGATGATCCTCTCAGAGCACATGCTCGACTTGGGACTATGCGATGCCTACAAACTTCCGCAACCAACCGACACTGGCTTCACTTTGTGCTCTGCAGCATCCCACGGTGGCACAACTGGAACGTTCGGATGTGCATGTTGTAGATAGGTAGGGCTTGACAGCTCTCAGGCAACCACGTGAAGTAGCAAGCACAAACATCGAGCGGTAGGGGCTCATTAAACAACCAGACGACAGAGGCTAGCCCTAAGACTGGCGCTAACCGGTGTGCGAGTGAACCGTGTGACTCAACGAGGAGCCAGTAAGTCTTGAGAACAGAAAAGTTCCTCACCTAAGTCACATTGTCCTAATTCCGACGTTAAAGAATTCCTAAGGACGTTGCTGGCAGTTCTAGAATTGCAAATTGGCTTTTTGTTTTGCGACCTATCCTAGTGGAAACCTGACGTTAGAACTGTGGTAATGGTAACGCTCTGGAGTTTTGAGATTAACGTTCCGTAGGTCTAAGTCGTAGGAGGATCCGGAACGGTTCGTTCTCCTCTCGACCTTGTGCCACCGGCTGTTGATGTTGATTGTTGTTGTTTCCAGTGAGGGCACCATGAGTCCAGTATATGGCCCCTGTGGAGCTGCGGAGTCAGACCAAAGCACCCCAGCTTGGAGAGGAGGAAGTTTGGGAGAAGAAAAGAAGGGAGGGAGGGAGGAGTAGGAGAACCTGAATCTTTTGCCGCTAGGGGAAAAAAGAAGGCGGAAGAGGGAGAGGAGGAGAAAAATAAAGCAAGAGGAAAAGCACAACGAGTGTGAAGAAGAAGGAGAAGAAGAACACCATATGGAGGAGAAAAAGGTGCTCGGGTAACACTAGGGGAAAGATGTTGCCGAGATAGCGCAGTTCTTGGGAGGTAAGTTGCAGAACGAGCTTACACCGGCGCAGCCCCTGGCTTATGTCGAGGATCCCCTCACAAAGAAGATACAACCGTGAGTACTCGCCTGAGCCAAATACAAAACGATGAACAAGAGTTGGAACGGCTGCTGAAACAGGCCAGGAAAAACAAGAAGAAGGCCTTGGAGGAGTTGTATTCATTGGCAGCAGCAAAGGCGGCGGCAGACAAGTAGCATGGAAATGTGGAGACGAAGCACATTAGGGAGGATACATAGGAGATAGCTGCTGCGGCGCTGCGGGCACCAGATGATGCAGCAATGGCCCTTTCCTGAGTCACAGAGCTGCAAAAGTGGCAGGTCGCAACCCGGAGGGTGAGGCAATGGTAATTGCAAAGGAGGCGCAGGTTTGAATCCGAGCCGGAGAAATTGCTTTCTTGGTTTTCCGTGGTGCATTGTGGGCATGAGGAGTTGTGCATCAACCCAGGCCTGCACACACATTTGTCATGTTTTCTGTGGGAGGCCTGTTGCTGACATTGAGAGGGGGGGGGGAGCCTAGGAGGGGGGCATGGCCCCCCTTCCGCACAACTGGACACAGCAGACGCATCCAAACTGAGGCCTGTGTTTCAAAAATTCATGGTTTTATTGACTGAGGGCATACTCACATTAACACTTTCCAAAGTACTTGACTGCAGTTACGGTGGGCTCCACAACAACAGATAGGAGTGATGATACGAGCATGCACTCCTACCTATCTTGCCAGGGGCTCCAGTCTATTGGTGGGGAGCAACACCTGCTGGAAAGCGGGTCCAGCGTCCCCTGGGATACAAACCTGACTGCAGTCCCCTTCAGCTAGACATTGCAGATTGATTCGAACTCAGGCCTGCATTTCAACAATTCGTGGGCTTATCGACCGAGGGCATACTCCACTGACACTTTCCTGAATGTACCTAACTGCAGTTATGGCGGGGCTCAATTAATCTGACATTGATTCTGACTGCAATCAGCTTCAGAAATTGCCAAGAGAAGTCCTGCTCTTAGTCTGGCACAAGTGGTTAACAGGGACCCCCACTTCAGCTCCTTTGCCTTGCTGTTTTTTTTTTTCAGGTTCTTTTTTTTTTGGCAATTAGTTATTAGTATGGTCTCCACTCTATGAATTGGTGGCAAGTTTCGTTAAATTCACCTTCGGGTTTTGTTACAAATGGCATGACAAGTTGTCTGAAATTTTGGGCCGCCGTTAACCTGCCGCTCTCGTGGGGGCAGGGTGTTAGCCTTATTGAAGCCCAGGGCAGACTCATACTGTGACCTTTTTCTGCCAATTTCTGCAGGCGATTGCAGTCAGGTTCATCGTCTCCGCCCACAGCAGGATACATTTAAGAAAAACTTGAAAAAGTGTTAGTGTGGAAATGCCACATGTCCTCAGTTGGTAGAAGCTTGAACTGTTGAAATACAGACCTGCATTAGAACCCGTCTCCTTTTTCTGCCTATTTCTGAAGGTGATAGCATTCAGATTCTCTCTAGGAACAGAGCAGGTCTGGTGGGTGGTCTGGTCCAGTCCGCTTTCTGTTTTTGTCAGTTTTTTATTTTAGGTTTTCTTTAGTAAGTTCTTGGTTTCACGTAACCCATGACGCCAAATTTCTATGAATCATTTAGTGATATGCTATGCGCTCGATGATTCATACATCTCACGTGATGGGGTGCTACCTTTTTTCGGTGGGCGCACCAGCCGTTCCCTACGGTCGCACTACGTGTATTCATATATGAGTTTTGGATGAACAGTAGTTTCAGATGGACTGGTGGTATAAAGAAAAACCACTGACTGAGAATTCAACCAGAGAATTCTTTTCTTGGGTGTGTCCCGACCGGCTGCAGCAGGACCTGAGCAGCCACTTCCACCCGGCCTGACGCTCCCACATTGCCACAGATTACAGGGCGATACAACTCACCCCCCGATGGGCTACCAGTGTTGACTGGCGTTGGCCATCCTCCTCAGTCCGTAAGTGACGGCAACGGAATTAGAAACCAGCACCTGCTCTGTGCCGCTCAGGCATGAAACCTACTGCGCTAGCCGACAGGACAACCTGTATCTGGCCTCAATCTCATTGCAAATTCGTCCCTCCTGGTTGTGAAACGCAATCAACCAGTTGGCCAAAGACCATGGCTGTCCAGCAGTCAATGATGTTCACTCTTTGTCAAAGAGCTCCTCTCGAGCCTCCTTACCATCTTCATTCACCCGAATAGAACAGTGACAATATGATAATAGCTGGGTCTAATAAGAACGCCATCAGGATGGTTGGAGAGCAAGCTGCTGAAGAGATGGTGGCTCTTTAGTGATATGTTATGCGCTCGATGGATCACAACTCAAGACCACATTCAAATGTTCCCATACACATCTGTAATGACAGGCAGACTGGCGAGAGCAGATTCACACCATAGCCATGATGGAAAGATATTGCACAGCGGAAGCCAAAACTCGACAAGGAGATGAAAGAAAATTGTCTTCAATCAATTATTATTAAATCCCCCTGCTCGCCTCCATCAATCGAGTACATGCCCGAGAAACTCAGGCACTAACTTGTCTCCAACCTCGATCAACCCTCGACAGGCTTCAACGAACGTTCAAAGTATCACCCCAACTTCTCCCTCTCGCACACAACTCACAAACACTGGTCTGGCACACCACTCCATCAGCGCCCCAATTCCAAAGTGTCTGTCAGCTGCAGCGCTGCTCTGACTTAGGCCAAAGGCCCAATCAGCAGCGCAAATAATTTAAGAGCGGAACCACCACGAAGAAGAAGATGAACTTTAATGAAGAAGGAGATGACTGCCTCAACAGGGCAACAACCAATCAGCATGCCGCTTGCAGAAATAGCGACCCTCCTCTCTACCCCCCCCAAACAGCAGCAAAGTGATGAGGACCTGCGCGGACTTCAACGTGTCAGGCAGCTCCACCTATGGCTGCCTAGTCTTCACGAAGCAGCAGAAGCTTCAGCGCTGAAAAATAGCGCAGCACCCGTTCCCCACATCGAATTTCCAGCAGAATGAGAAAAGCACCCCAAAACTAGTCCGGCCAAGGTCACTTCAACCCGGCCTCCCTAGACCTAGGACAGACCACACAGCAACACCTATCTGACCGTCCATTCAGTCAATCGAGATCTACGGCCTCTCCGCATTCATGCATCTAAACAGATACATAGACTAGGAGGAAACGAATCTACAGCAAGCAAAAGAGCGCCTACGGGTCTGCTGAAAACGAGTGCAGAAAAGGACAAAACAAAAGGGCAGACAGCCTAAGACCAGCCCAACAAGGCTCAAAACAAACATACACATTACAAGTCACGGGATCAAGTCCCGTCGTAGGGGGGCGTGGGGGTCGGATGACGCCTTAACTTCAGTGCAACGACTCTGGTTTTCCTTTTTTTTTTCTTCTTCTTTTCTGCAGATTCTCGTTTTTTCTCCGGTTTTGAGTCTTTTGACCAAAAAGTTCCAAACAGTTTGCTGACTGTATTAGTTATGGGTTTACAACTCTACACTGTTTAGCATTCCTTAGTTGTTCAGAAGTTCTTCATAACTGGTGGCTCTGTGGTTTTCAGCCAAAGCCCGGTAAAGGGCCCAGTATCTCAGCTGTTCTGTACAATTTTCATAAGGGACGCTGGGCCCAGTTCTCAGCACGTGCTTCTCCCCACGAGCAGATTGAAGCAATCAATGTTCCAGGGGGAAAAAAAAGAAAAGAAAAGATAATAGTATTATAGTACCGAATGTCACTTGGGAAACTGACAAGGGCATCTTGAGATATCATCATTGAGCTGACCGACCGCGGCAATTCAGAAGTATTTGGTTTTAGTACTGTTTTACTCATCAAGTTCCATCATCATCTGGATTCGAACTCGGGTCTGTATTTCAATTTTCAACAGTTCATGGGTGTGGTCCCCACTGAGCTAGGCTCTTGCGTTGAGAAGGGCATTTGGAAACCTTCTTTGGCTATCATGCTTATGTCCGGACAATCGAAGAGGCATAGACAGTGCCTGCTTGAGCAGGAGGACAGAAAGATCAGAACAGGGAGATGGTATGCAGTAAGAAAAAAAAAAAAAGTGCAGAAGAGGGGAAAGATACACAGTAAAAAAAAAAGAAAAAAAAGAAAGAAAGATACACAGTAAAAAGGTGCGGAGAACGGGAGAAATAGTAAAATACACAGTCCAAAAGTGCAGAAAAAGGGGATAGATAGTAGATACACAGTAAAACTTAAAAACAGTGTAAAAAAGGGGATAGATACGCAGCAAAAGTGCAGAAAAGGGGATGTGCAGATTAGGGGATGAGTAGAAAAGGGGATAAAAATAAAGAGTAAAAGGACAAGTTTGGGCAAGGAAGGGAAGAGAGAGCAGGGTGAAACGAACCGGGGAGAGCAAGTGGGAAAGTGGGAAGAAGAACCTGTGTAAATAAAAGGAGAAACTCAGAAAAGGTATTAAAAAATGATTATTTACGATCCTGAAGCTCCTCCTCCTCCTCCTCCTCCTCCTCCTTTCTGTGGAGCATCATATAGGAGGGGTTTCCTCTTACGAACAATCGTACCAATCCAGTCACCTCGTATAGCCATTGAATTGCCACTCAGGTCATTTACCTGGCAGGGTGCTTCTGATGTGATTGGTGAGTGTGTATACACATCACCCTTGCAGGCCGCCAGAGCATGTGCGGTCCCAGCCTGAGCTATCAGCACCGGAACCCCTGCTGCCGCAATGGTCGCAGCTTCCTTTATCTTTGCCGCCATTCCTCCTGTCGCGTCATGAGGAGAAACAGTCGTCACAACGGTTTCAGCACCATGTGCACCATCAGTCCGTACGTTCTCCTCAGGTGGGTTCACGACGATCCAGCCGCCATCGTCGTCAACCTCAATCTCGCGTAACAGCGTTGCTCCTTCGACCGAAGGTGGTCGATTGAACACGCCTGGAACGTCCGTCAAAAAAACAACGAACTGTGGGCACAGAGCTTTCGCCATGTGCCGAATTATCACGTCACCACTCAAGATGGCAACGCCTTGTCCGATTTCGAAGGAAGCATCTCCATGCATCACCGGAACGAGCCCAGAGCGAAGTACCTGACAAATGATATCCATGCCATGATTACCATCCCTCTCCACAGCTTGCCCGCCGAACTTCGTTCGCCAGCCAGCTGCAAATGGCGATATGCCAACCGCCGGAACACCGTGGCGGATCAGGGTTTGTACCAGAGTTTGGTTGAGATGAGTGACGCTTGCTCGCGTTTTGGCCAAACCCATCGCCGTACGGTAACAAGTTCCAAAACCACCCCTGCCGAGGTGATACTTGCTCGCTGTGAAGTGACCGAAGGAGCCTGCTCCATGGACAACCACCATACCAACTTTCCGATTGTGCAGTTGTCGATCTTTGACCTGGAAAACACCATCCTTATTGAGGTCATCACCACCATCGCTGCGGCCGTCAGTGGCCTCAATGCCGGCTGCCTCTTGAAGATGGCATGCTGTCATTTCTAGAACTGTGTGGTTTAGAGTTTCAAAGCATGTTTTGTCAGAGATTGCTGCACCGCCTACTTTGACGATAAACCGAACATTTGATTGTGATTTGCCGTTGTCCCATGCTAGGGCTGGCTCCTCATTTACGCCAAAGGAGCCCGTCATTATGCTATCTCAGAATGCTTTCCAAATCCGCCACTTGAACTTTGCTTGGATCAGATGCACAGGGTGTCCCTGCCGCAGGAGCAAAGATAGCACATGTACGCCAGAATAGACAGCACATCCACACTCCCCAGTCACAGGCAGGGGTCATTTGTCTCAGGAAGATCAAACAGCACCAAGTAAGCCCAACGACGACCCGCGCTGGCAACTGTTTACACTTTGGCCATTGATCTGGTCCCACTAGACAAATGGTCCCAGAAAAAAAATTGGTCCAAGCGGTGCCACTGAACAAGTAGTCCACCAGACAAGTGGTCTCGCTCTACAAGTGGCCCCACTAGAGAGCTGGTCCACTGGACAAGAGGTCCTGCTAGGCAAGTGGTCCCCACGAGACAAATGGTCCCACTACTAGACAAGTGGTCCCAGTAGATGAGCAGTGGCTCGGCTTGACAACTGGTTAAACTAGACAAGAGGTCCCTCTAGGCAAGTGGTCCACGCTACGGTAGGCAAGTGGCCCCACTAGACAGGTGGTCCCAGTAGATATGCAGTGGCTCGGCTAGACAACTGATTCCAATAGAGAAGAGGTCCCTCTAGGCAAGTGGTCCACACTACGGTAGTCAAGTGGCCCCACTAGACAAGCGGTCCCAGTAGATATGCAGCGGCTAGACACACTTGGTCCTCACTGGGCATTTTCACCTGCACGGGGGAAGACAGATGAATGCATACCACCACTGTCATCATCGTGGTCATCAAGTTCATCGACACATTGTCTCAGTTTGTCTGGCATCACTTTTCTCTGGCAACCATTAAAAACTTTTACTGCTGTTTAAAAGTGGGTAGTCCCGAACATTATTGTATTTTACTATTTTGCATGAGGGTTCAACGTTCAAACTCGTTCCATTCATATACGTAGGCCAGCTATTCGATTTGCCCAGTTTCAACAATGTTTTTTTTTTTTTTTTTTTTTTTTTCAAAAGAGACGATGCTCCAACAATGTTAAGTTTTTCAGGTTTGCTATATATATTGTCTGCTGCATGTTGAACAACAGGCACATGCTTGTTACGCGCCGTTTCAGGTGCAGAGCAACAATCTATATCATCTTGAATTACTTCTTTTTTTGGTTAAAGCCTTAAAGGCTTAAAGAGGATAATCCCCTAACATTATTGTACCCATCTGATTCCGTCAGGATTTGAGCTCATGACCTGTCTACTAACAGTTACACGTCTGTACCATGCAGCCACATGGGCTGGGTATCAGTCCTCATTAGCACCAAAGATCAACTAAATAGTAAATACTAAATAGTAAATTTGCTAATTAGGAATTACAGCTTCTGGGCTCATTCTGAACACGTATTCCCTGATTCCATCAGGATTTGAGCTCATGACCTGTCTACTAACAGTTACACTTCGGTACCATGCAGCCACATGGGCTGGGTATCAGTCCTCATTAGCACCAAAGATCAACTAAATAATAAATACTAAATAGTAAATTTGCTAATTAGTAATTACAGCTTCTGGGCTCATTCTGAACACGTATTCCCGAATCATGCCTGACTATTAATCCTGGCCTGGTCCTTCCTTACTTGTTCATTATGGGCTGTTGATTCTGGGAGGCTGATTCTGAGTTGTCTATTTCCGGGCTGTCGATCCCAAGCAGGCCCTTTGAAGCTTAGAGCTATCATCCATTCTGCTTTGCCAGGTGTTGTAAGCATTCCCTTTTTTTTTTTTTTTAACCACTAGTACCTTTGCCGTCTAGTTTCAACAAGTTCTAGCCTAGTCCCGAACGTTTAGGAGGCCGGGCCCGACAACGGCTGCCGTTGATAAATCTGATCGGCGGCTGTCGTTTCGTTTCGACCTCCTGAAAGGTCGGAGGCCCACTATTTCCGAACCGACAAAGGTACTAGTGGTTTAAAGTTTAAACCTCCTGTTGCTAAGCATTTCCTTCTTTTACATGTTTACCCCCCCTCTCCTCTTCTCAGTTCAAAACGAAACCTTCAATCAGATAATCAGACAAAAAAACTGGCTGCAAATAATAATATGCATACCCCTCCTCCTCCGGAGGAACACAGTCAAACCAGGTAGTGGAGTCGATCAGGCCAGCAGCCACCCGTCCCCTCCTCTGGCTTAATACCCCTTCCCCTCAACAACCACGGCACCCCATCCTGCCAGCCAAGAGAACGTGATTGTGAAGTGCATTGGGCTGCAACTCTTGTCCACATCCATCCTCCAGCAGAAACTTATGACAGAAAAATGCACACAAGGAGTACCTTTTGGGGCAAGATTGGGACGCACTGGTTAGGCGATCCGGGCAGATTCACCTATCCTTTGAACAGCAACTGTGGTAAACCCTTCCCCCAGGGCTCAGGAATTTGACAAAATGAAGGTTGCCAGGCTTTTGCATATTTGTATCCCCCCTCACAATCAATCAGAAATAGATTGTGGGCTTGTTCATGTCAATGAAAAACTGCCGTCTTCACCTGGATAGAATGCCCGGTCATTATCACTGCATTTAGACTGGATGAAGACGGTAGTACACTATTCCAGCAAAAAGAAACACTCTAATTATCTATCACAGGGGAAGGTTAGAATGTCACATAGCATTCTTCATCAGACCAAAGCTCAGAGAATCCACTGCGATCAAAAGGTTAATTTTAGAGACAAGAGGATGACTACATTGAGCTGTACCTGCCAAGAAAGGTAGTCTCACTACCGTCTTCATCTGAATAGAAAGTACGGGACTTGCTACTGGAGTACAACCCATGTCTAGATACAGTGAGAGTGGCCGGGAGTTCGATTCAGGTGCAGATGGTAGTTCAGGAGAAGCACAGTGGGGGAGAAATGCACACACACTGTGAAAAAATGGGAAGAGAGAGAACAACAGAAAGGGAGAAAGAAGAGGAGGATGAAGATGAAGATGAAGATGAAGATGAAGATGAAGATGAAGATGAAGATGAAGAATAACTCTGCAGAATCCCCTTACAATGCTTTAACTCATAACCTACTTCAGACCCTGTTGCAAGTGGGCAACCGCAGCAAGTGTGCAGTGCATCATGTTGACAAGGCATCTCGCAGCAAGGCATAACGGGCAGGCAGGTAGGTGGGTGAGCAGGCACACATCAGCACAGCAAGGCAGTCAGCAAGGTATGAAATAGTCAGCATCAGGCATGGCAAGCAGGTGGGCAGGCGGGCACGGGGGTGGGTACACAACAACACAGTGAGGCACACAGCATGGCAGCCAGCAACCCGGCAAGGCACACAGCACAGTGGACGGTAAAGCGACAAGTGCGCAGAAAGGCAAGCAGGACAACTACGACAACATAGAAACCCAGGGACGCAGCAGGGATCAGAGTGGACTATCACCTACTTACATCACAAGGTAAACTCTGCAGACGGTAGGTTCATGGCATGATCAAAAGCCAGGAAGCCACAAGAGAAATGTCTGTGGCCACCACAAACCACAGACACAGGCACCCCGAGCACAGCAGGGCCCCTCTTAGTGTTGCAGGCACTTGTAGCAAACAGGTGCTGACTATTTGACTCTTCTTAAAGCTGGTGCACTTGGACACTGACAAGACCACAGAGGGCGAAAACCAAACAAACAGTGTGTGTGTGTGTGTGTGTGTGTGTGTGTGTGTGTGTGTGTGTGTGTGTGTGTGTGTGTGTGTGTGTGTGTGTGTGTGTGTGCATTTGTGTATGTGTGTGGAGATGTGTGTAACAGTCCATGTTACACCCAGATGAGTCGGTCCAAAATCAAAGCACCTTTACGTCTGTTGCAGACAATGAAGCACACTTGAGATGAGCCAATCCAACAATGAAACAGTTTTGCCTCGTTAGCAAAGAACATGAAGCAAAATAGAGCCATTATATCCCTTTCTGAACTATCTTTACTTTGGCTTTCTTGGGGGTACCCCTTTTATTTGTTCTTGCAGCTCCCCTTTTGCTGTGCCTTGCACATACAAGGCTGGCCACCTTGATTGCGGTTGAGCGCCAGCTGCCCAAATCCCCGTGTGCCTTAACGGCCCACTTGCACATTATGAAAAGAGGCAGAGTAAAGGGGGATGTACACTCTGTTCATTTTTCCTCATATCTTCAGTTCATATTTTGTTTGTTTTCTTAACGATGCTCATTCATATGCTTTTACTCGTAGTACACAAGAGGAGGGAGGAAGGAAAGTGGTCAAGGCTGGAATTCTATAGGAAGTGATGGTTGGGGAAGGAAGAAAGGTAAGAGGAGGGACGTGGAGGGGCAAAGAACAGAACAGAGGAAAGGCGACATTCACAGGGTTGGGTGTGTGCGTGTTGTCATGTTCGCTATACACAACTCCACAAAAGAAGTATCGACTGTGCCTGACTGTTTTATCGGACGTTCACCAACTCATTAGGAGGTTGAACCCCGACAGTCTGCCCCTAAATGAATTTGAGTCTTTGAGACGAATTGACCGATGGATAAGGACTCACCACGCTGCCCAGAGTTAGCGATACCCATCCCTGAGAGAGAAAAGTGGTCCACTTTACTCACACCAACCCCGCAATCCTAGCAGACTGCCGTTACAAGCGCTTGACAATAATGGCAGTAAGTCAGAGAAACACAGCCATAAAAAAGCCGCTCTACACACCCACTGTGTGTGTTTGTGTGTGTGTGCAGTCTCCACCGCTCGTAACAACGACCTCCAGCCAGTATTCTGCTCCCCTTTTGCCATGCCTCTTACATATAAAGGCTCGCCACATTGATTGCGGTTGAGAGTGAGCTGCCCACATCCCTGTGTGCCATAATGGCCCGGTTGCGTGCTATGGAAAGGAGGCAGAGTAAAAGGGGAGGTATACACCTGCTCATTTTTCCGCACACTTTCACCTATCATTGCTGGAGGCCGGCATTTGCACCAGATACTAATGGCAGCCACTTGTGCAACATTTGCCCCACTAGCAGCCACCCTGAGCACAAGTACAGCTGATCAGCTTCCGTTACCGGCATCCGGCCCACCAGCTTCTCATCCATCTAGCCCTGATTGTTCCCCCGCTCCAACTGGCAATGATCCACCTTCACATCACTTGCCGGAGCCCCTGACTGGAGATGACCTTTCTCTGGGATGCATGCTGCAGTCAATGGAGTTACAGCCGGAGGAACCTGACAGAAACAGTCAAGATGGCAATGAACCCCCCCTAGGGCAACCTGCAGAATCAAATGATCTGATTGTGCTACAGCGCTCAATTCTCCATTTCTTCATGTCATCGCTCTTATACACCACAGATAAGCAACGGGTACCCAGACCCACACCCACCCACACCCACCCCACCCACGGGGCATTGGGTCAGGTGTGGGTCTTGATAAGCTGGCATGGATGGTATGAGGGTGGGTCTAGGCGAGCCAGCTCGGGTGGATGACGGGCGGGTCAATTTAGGCCTGGGTCACCCGAATGGGTGGGTGACAAGCGGGTGAGAACTAGGCCTGGGTCACCCAACACACAGACCCAGGACAACCCATAATAACCCCCCAGCCCCCCCAACCCCTCATACGTATTTTCCAGCTGCGGTCCACCTGTGGCCCAGAAAACGGAAAGTCTCCAGCCAGGGGCCTCCTGGAAAAAAAAAGTTGTGGATCCTCCTTCAAAAAAATGTGTCGCACTCTATTGATGGCAGCATTACCATGGCCCAAGAATGGGATGTTAGCTCCCATTAAAACAACGAGGATTGAACCTAA